AGGGTGTGGGGGCATTAAAATAAATCTCTCTGTTCTTCACAAGACAAGATACACGTGTGTGTGTGTTGTGTGTGTTGTACGCACATGCTTGTCCTCCTCCTAAGGCTTCTGTTGGCTCCATTAATAGTCGTCACATTATGGTTAAGATCCATTTTGGGATCACAACACAGGGACTTTTATTTGTTATACAACAACCTGCTTGATATTTTAGCAGAACTGGAACTCCCTAAAACCGGCAGACAGACTTATGTAATAGGAGCAACGTAAGTCAGAAAGGTCAGGGGTGGAAGGCATGGAAAGACATTCCAGTGCAGCTTCATGTCCCAGTGCAACCACCGAGAAAAACACAACACTCATTGCCAAAGAGTGTTGGCGAATGGTAATGAATAATTGCAAGTTACTATACTCTACTTTTTTATGTTGCTGTTCCCCTTGTTTCTGTTAGTTATCTGGGTTGAAGCTGGTGCACCTCAGTTGACCTAGTAGACCTCAATCTAATGCATGTGCCCACTTTAGAGACAATTATGATAATGGTAAATGTGTGGAATGAACATCAATCTCTTATGTGTCAGGCGAGCTGGCACTGGTAGTGTTTTTGCTGTGTGTGACATTGACAGGGCGTTTAGCCCCCAAATCTTCATGGAAATGGCCGTTAGTGGCATCTCACAAACGTACCCTCTCCTCTGGAATTCCCAACCTCTCACTGTCATCAAGATAAATTGGCCGACTTGAAAGTGACACTGCAAGAAGTGTGTGTGTGTGTGTGTGTGTGTTTGTCCCCGAGCCAAGTCTCCATTATGTCTGAATAGGATATCTCTCTCCTTACCTAGAATCTGCCTATTTGCAAGAATGTCATGTGTGTGTGTGTGGCCTTCTCTGGCCTCTGTCACTCTTGTCACTTGTATACATTCATCAAATTGGGGCATGAGTAAACTTTACTTGCCTATTTCCCCCCTCTGTTTTTATGAAGTTGTTCCAGCACTGTTCCTTCCTGTTACACACCTGCATTAGTTTGTTTATTTGCTCATTACTTTCATTCAAATTAAACAAGACAGAAGGTAGCCACCAAGAACAAATTCATTTATTTTAGAATAATTGGGTTTCATATATATTCCTGCATTCATTTAGTATGTTTGCAGTGCTCTGTTTGCCATCAACAAATTGTTATTATTTATTATTTTTCCTTGTTTGAACCCCTATGCCAAATTCATAAATCATAATTTGTCCCACAACATCATTTTCTTATCTCCGTAATTGGAAATGTTCTGCCCACAGGTTACCGTCATTGAGGACAAATGGAATTAATCTATTATGTTTGCCTTTTATGTATATTCCCTGTACGTATCTGATCAAATTCACTTCACCCATGGCGCCAACGTCCTCATTCATGTTCAGACACAGCCTCCCAGCCCGCATGCAAGCCTATTGTGGACGCCACACCCTTTACTGATTAGTAATTATGGGGTATAGAAGAGAGCAGCTTTTGCTTCATGTAAGGAGTATTTGCACACTGCACTCCCCTACCTCCATTTAGAGCAGTAGAATATGATTTTCATAAGAACAGTTGCATAATCTTATGTAAAGCTACTGTAGATGTGCTGTGTGTTGGCAGTGATTGTTATAACTAGGGATGCTCCGATCGCCAATTTTGGGAGTAGCATGAAGCTGCAGCGTCGGAGACTGCAGTCTCAGGACCGCACTCCCTGGACCCTAGTTTTTCGTGACACTGCCACCTAGCGAGCAGGAGATATGAATATGAACGACAACGCAGAGAATGTGAGTAATGTGAAGTGCTTTTAAACTTGTATTTGTTTAACATTAATAACAATTCCGGTGTCTTGAAATGAAGTGTGATTAGCTAACGTTAACTATGATAGTCTTAAAGGTCCCATGTCCTGCTTTTCCGGTTATTACCCGTCCCCTTGTGTGTTATGAAAGTTTTTCTGCATGTAAACGGTGTGCAGAGTCAAAACCCTCAAAGTACACCCTGTAGCGAGTAAAACTCTAAAACAGAAAATACCTCCCCAAAACGCCCCGTTGGTGAAAAGTCATCATGACGTCATCATCCATTTGATTCTTCCGTGTACGTGCTTACGAAAGCACGTACCCGGAACTAAATGGGCTAATCCGTGGAGCCGTTAAATTACGTCCGCGGAGCCTTTACGTTAAGCCCCCGCTGATTGGTCCAAATTGACCAATCCACACACACACTCAGTGCAGGCAGACCTGCTGATTTCTGCTCCGTGCTAAAGGCTGATAACAGACAGTTGGGATCGTGGCGAAATTCTCTCTGCAGACCCATTCTCACAGCGTTTATCAACCTTTTTCTTACTCAATATCATGCCACACTTATTGTTTTTACTTCGGCTGTGACTTTGTGTGTGCTCAGGGTGAGTTTGGCTGTGTATCGCTAAACAAGGAAACAACACCTCCACGGAGCTCATTGCGATTCACAACGTCCCAACCAATCAGAGCACACTGTGCTCACAGGGAGGGTGGGGGCTGGAGCTATTGGAGGCCTCTCGCC